ATGCTTACAGTACATAATGGCTATATCCACCTCGGGGAGTTGGAACAAGTACATAATTCTTTCCCCTTCCTTCCCTCCCCTCTCCCTCCATCTCTGGTTCCCTTCCCATTTGGAAAAGACCTATCTTCTTGTTTCCTATTGTCTATCTTTTATTTTGCTCTTTCTTTTCTTTATACTTTGGTGTCTCATACAAGAGAGACCATGTGCTATTGAAGCTTGTGCACCTGATCTGCTTCACTTTTCACTATGAGACCTGGATCTTAGGAGAGAGAGACTGGGGCACACTGAGATGGCAACTGAGGTTGGGTGTGGTGGCACACACCTGTAATCCCAGTGCTTGCGAGGCTTGAAAACAGGACTTTTTTTCCCCCCAGAACAGGGGATTGAACTCAGGCCCTTGCATTTGCCAGGGAAGCACTTATTCTACTGAGCCAACTCCCTGGTCCCTTAAGCACAGGAGAATCACTACAAGTCCAATCTATATAGTGAGACCTTGTAGATCCTGTACTAAAATATTAAAAAAATAAATAAATAAAATAAAAAGACTGCAGAAAAAGACCAGGGCCAGATTGCAGGAAACCTTGCAAACACAGCTGAGTTTGCCCTTATTGTGGACAGCAATATTTTCTGAGGAGGAAGATGCTAGTAATGCTTCCGGAGACTTGAATGGGGTGGTACAATACAACAAAACAACGATCAAGACAGACATTAACTTTATCCCTGGTGAGCACTCCCTCTTCCTGCACCTCAGTTTCCTAATGCTTAAATCAAGTTCATTAGAATGAATGAATTCTAATGCCTCTTTTAAGCTTGGGTTTCTAAGAACCTGTGGAAGGGGCCGGGGAGATGTAGAATAAGTGCTTCCCTGGCTAGAGGAAGGGCCTGAATTCAATCCCTGGTTCTGGCCCCCTGCCCAAAAAAAGAACCTGTGGACTACATGGAAAGAGAGTCTATGGCAAAGAACCCATCAGAAATCGACCAGGCTAGGTTTGAACTTGAGATCCTCTGCAGCACCCTCCTGACTAGCTGGGATTACAGGCATACCTGTAAAAGAAAGTTTTTAAAGGAAGTATAATAGTTTGGAAGGTTCTACAAGGACTTGAGTAGAGCAGAATACTGCTCCATGAAATGTTGCCCTCCCAGCCAACTGGTCAAACCATCGACGGACCAGTAATGCTTTCTACATGCTATGCATTAATGGTGCCAGACTCTGGAAACAGAAGCCAAAGTTGTGCCCCTCAAGAGGTCCCATTCTTACAGATATTTAGGTTTCCTGAAACTAGAACTAGAACCAAGGGTCCCAAACACGAGAGACTGAGAGTTCCAAGTTGTGACAATCCAGGTGCTACAGCTGAAGACACTTGAGGAAATGCACGGAGGAGGCAGGTCCTCTGGGGGGAGCCCCTCCCCTGCGGCCTGCCACGTCAGACTGCACAAGTGAGTTCACCCCATGGAAGCACTCAGATTAGCTCTCCACATAATACTTCTTTGTCCACAAATCTCAGACTGCTTCCAGTCCCACCCCAGGTGCTCTGCACCAACCCAGTAAGGCTGGAATTCAGAGGAGTTTTGAGAACCCCACCCCGCCCCCCACTCCCAGAGCTGGTGCCAAGTCAGCTGAACTAGGGAGAAAACAGCCTGTGTGGCAGGCAAAGGTGAAGCAGTGTGTCCATCAGCCTCACCAGCGAAGAAGAAAAGAAGTCAGTTCCAAGAGAACAAGACGCAGCCAAGAACAAAACATAGGTTCTCTTCCTAAGGTTCAGGTTTTCTCTTCCTAAGGTTCTTGCCTAATTAAGACTGGACTGCAAAGGAAAACAAAGGGAAGAAACTGATAAAAACACCTGTAAAAACCTAGGAGCTTTAACCCAAACTGGCTCTGTGGTAGCACCAGGTGTATTCTTACACAAATTAGAGATAAAGCCCTACAAATACTTATCTAGAAAGTTTCACCAGGTCCCACCTGCTCATCTCCACTAGTTTCCTGTGCTCCAGACCACAAAGTGGTCTGGTGTCCTTCCCTCAAAGCTAGATACAAATAACTTTTAGTACCCTGGGATGGTGTGGATGATGTGGAGGTCCATATTGAGGTGTCTACTCCACCTTAGACTCCTGGGTTGGCAATGACCAAAGAACTTGTGGTTGCTGTCAAACATCTACTGAAAGGTCAGGCTAAGAAATTCAGACACCAAGATTATCAATCCAAGTTGTCGATGATGTGGAGATCAAGTGAGTCATCATCGTTCCCCAGTGTCCAGCACAAAGCCTGGCGCCAAGGAGAACTCTCAGAACTCAGAGAGTAACTTTCTAGATGAATCACTGCTTTCCAGCCTAACCCAGCCCAAAGAATATGCCCAGGTTCTGGCTGACGGTGAAGAGAACAGACTCCACCAGACCACGAGGTCTAGCTAACACCTACCACCCAGAGGTGATCTCTGAGGGAAGGGTACAGCTGGTCACTGATTTCAGGCCGAAAGGCAAAGTTTCAGAAAAGAAAGGAGGAAGGAGATGGAGAAAGAGAAAAACGGAAATGTGGCAAGAAAGAAGCAAACACTTAGAAGGGGGGCTGGAAAGATACTTTCCAAGACACATCCGAAGTTCAGATTTACAAACAGCATCCAGCATGTTTGGATGGCAAGTACATCCGGAAGGGCAATTTCTAAAAACATTTAGAAACATGTAGGCGTTTATTCCAAACAGAAACTGGGAATCTGTCGGCAGACTTGATTCTGCTTTGCAACTTAATGTAAATACCACACATTCCCTCCCATCTGTCCACCCCACACCTCCACAGAGTGGAACTGAGATGAAAAATGAATACTTAAAGCAGCTGAGGGCTGCCGGGCATGGTAATCTTCAAATTCTAAATTTACTATTAAATTAAATATTTCTTTAAAATTAAGAAAAGCACTATATAATCACATATGTTTTACCCCCATCATAGTCTGACATTTTTTAAAAAATGAGAACCAGGGCTGGCCAAATAGCTCCGTGGACTAAACCGCCTGCAAGTAGGAGGAGGGGCCGGTGGTTTCATCCCTGGGCCTGCCACACTGGCCCCAGCCCTGGGGCACGCTCAGTCGGCAATTGAGACTGGGCATGATGGAAAGTGCCTATAATCCCAGCTCTTGGGAGGCTATAAACAGGTGGATCACTATAAATCCAATCTAGTAGTGAGACCCTGAACACTTTTGTAGACCCTTCCCTAAAATACAAAAAAAAATGAGAACCATAATTGCTAGTCTCCACCTGTCCCATCAGCCATGGTTGAGGAGTGAGACATGCCACCAGGCTGGTGAGAGCCAGAAGCAGGCAAGAGGAGGCAAACACTCTGGGGATCTCGGCCTGTATGTCTTGGCCAATAAATGCGCTGGAAGAGTTCAGTTCAGACACCAGTTCTTACTGGTCTTGCTGTGAATACTCAACTTGGTTAGCCATGTACCAAGCTCCTACATAGCTAACAACAGTAGAGCCTACCTGACCCTGTGTGGCTGACACTGATTCAAGAGACAGAGAGAAAGAGAGAGAGTCCATGACAATTGAACCCATGGCCTTGTGTAGGCAAGAATTCTACTACTAGACATACTTCTAGCTCTTTTAATTTTACTCCAAGACAGGGTCCTGCTAAGTTGCCCACACAGGCCTTGAACTTGCAATCCTCCTGCTTCAGCCTCCAGAGTAGCTCTAATTACAGACATGTACCACCATGTCTGGCCCACCAGACTGTTTCTACCAGGACCAAACCCTGCATGGGGCTACATCTCTAAGGAGCAACATCCTGTGCCCTCTGTCTGGATGCCAGCTCTGAATAAACAAACATCTACCACCACCTTTGCCAGCCCTGAGTGGGCCACACCCTGCTGGGCTTAGCCTAGCACTGCATAACCCAGATATCCAGGAAAGAGCAAGCTTATGCCAACCCCAGCTAAGCATTCACATAGGTGTTCATCCTAGTGGCCAAGAGCCCAAAAGACAATTCTGTCCAACTGAGGATTTGGCAGAAAGACCTATGAAAAGTATGTAGCTTTAATAAAACAGCCAGGAGGTTCTTCTAGGACATCACAGGCAACTTTGGCCAATCCTGGAGAAGCCCCAGTGGCAGCACTGTATACCCAAATGCTGGTTCCGGAAGTTTTTACCTCATACGGAGAAAGCTAGTATTTAATGAGTGGCTTCACGCCAGCTACTATGCAACTTTATCATTATAATCTTTTTACTTATTTATTTATTTATTTATTTTTTAGTACAGGGTCTACAGGGTCTCACTAGGTAGATCAGACTCCTAGTGATTCTCCTGTTTTCAGCCTCCCAAGTGCTGGGATTACAGGCGTGCATCACCATGCCCAGTCTCAATCACTGTCTCATCACAGTGTGCCCTGGGAGGGGGGGTCTGCACATATCATTATAATCTTACAGATGAGATCTCACTATTTGGTAAGTAGAACTTGGATGTGAACCCAACTGTGAAGGATTCCATAACCTATGGTTTTTCTGCAGTCCTACATTCCCATTTTTTTAAAAAATGGTAAAAACATGTAAGTAAATTGAAGCTTACATTGACTAAAATTCCCCAAGCTGCTTTTGTTTTCAGCCCAGTCCAAATTCTTACAGGATCTTGACTCCTACTTAGACTTTATGGATACCTCCTAACTGCCAACCCCCCCCCCCAACCCTAGTGCAGTTGGCCCCCTCATAACAGCACAACCTAGCTCAGGCCCAGGCCCCAAGCTGTCTACCTTGGGAAAAGGTTACCATCAGAAGTGTATCTGCCAACTTGCTGGCCCCACCCCTGGAATGCTACAGTCCCCCAACAGCAGGAAGCAAAGCCTATTTTAAGGTTACTGTCTGCTGTGTCTTATGAAGGCTTCAGAAGCTGGGCCCAGACTTGTGACCTGGATGGCTGTCGGAAGCACGATGAGCACATTTTGGCAAGAATCCTATGCAAAACTCAGGCCATTCTGCTGTCCCTTAGTGCCATTTCCTGGCAGTTCTCCCCGACCCACCTGCTCAGAGTCTCCCGAGGGGCCTTAGTGCCTCCGGCTCCATGAGTGATGCTGGAATTCTTGTTGGCAGTCATGGTCATTTCGGCTCTCTGCAAACCCAGAGCCCTGCAAAGAAGACAAGCCTGTAAGCCAAGTTTCCACAGGCAGTCAGGAGCACCTCAACATCTTCCAGATGACCTCCAAGACTGCCAAGAGGTTTTCTGTGGCAGGTGATAGAAACCACGTTCCCGCATATGCTCCCCTCCATGTGTTACAGCTTAGGAGCCTCAAGAGACCTCTGGCCTGGGAGAGGGAGGTGTTCAAGCTAAGAGATAATTTATCAATTCACAGGAAAAAAAATTTTTTTTAAAAAAAAGCTGTTTTCTGGGGGCTGGAGTGAAGCTCACTGGCAGAGTGCTGGCCTAGAATGTACAATGACCTGGGTTTGATCCTAGCACCACAAAGAAAAAAGAAAGGATGGAAAGAAAAAAGAAAAAAAAAAATCCATCTCAATCTCACCTGTCTTCATTTAAAAGTTTCTCAAACTTCCACACGCGTTTATGATTTTTCTTTTAGTTACACACCTCCTAAATTAGTAAATAGTACCTTTTGTGTTAATAAACTTAAAAACTGACTTTCATTTCTTTATAAAAAATCTTATTCTAAATAATAAGCCATCCATCCATAATGATCTAGCAAAGAATAATAAAGACTCTGTCCTCAGGGAACTCACACCCTAGTAGGGAGAAACAGACAATAAGCATGCGTGTACCCCATGTCTGTGACATGTAAGTGTCTGCACATAACATACTAGGCCATGGTAAGTGGTATGAATGGTGGCATAGGCCTGTAATTCCAACATTTGGGAGGCTGAGGCAGGAAGATCAAAAATGTTGCCTATATAGCAAGATTTTTTTCTCAGAAAAACACAAAAAGTAGAATGAAGAAAAACATAAATAAACCAAGAGAGAGGGAAAGAGTGAAGGACATAGTATTAATAATAGGATGTTTAAGGCAGACTATTCTGATAAAGAGACATGTGAGTAGATATCATAAAACTATCTGCTAGAAGTAACAATTATATTTTTTCTAATACATGTCAGATTACATTAATATACATGGAAGTTTTAAAATATCTATGAAGCAAAAAATATTCACTTATATATCATACACTGTTAGCTGGTATATCACCTACAATAAAAGCACCACCCTTTTAGAAATCATTTTTGTTTGGTGACACACACCTGTAATTCCAGCACTCGGGAGGCTGAGGCAGAAGGACTGCCACGAGTTCATGGCCAGCCTGGATTATGTAGTGAGTTCAAGGCCAGCCTGAACTAAATAGCAAGATCTTGTCTTTAAAAGAAGGGGAGAAGGGTAGAAAAATCTTAATGATTCTACAAACACACTACTAAACTAGTAAGTAAGTGGTACGTTCTTCAAACGTCTATTAAAAATGTTGACATGGCCCTGCTGGAAGCATTTGTAGAGCCCTCAGGAGGCAGGGCCACGTGGTCACAGACTGCCTGCACTTGAGGGGATACGAGGACCCAGCCGCTTGCTGCCTGTCTCTTTGCTTCCTTGCCGCCAGGAGGCAAAGAGGCCACCTCTGCCACACAGTGGGAATCATGAGGTCCCACTTCACCACAAGCCTGAAGTCAACCAGGCATGCACTGGGGGCCAACATAAACCTTGCCTCCTCCTAAGTTGATTACCTCTGGCATCTTGTCACAGTGAGTTCAGATAGTTTGCAGAATATATCAATGTTTAAGAAAAAAATCAACTTTATTTCTAGGCACTAGCAATAAAAAAAAAAATCTACAAATGAAGTTTTAAAAAAATCCATTAACAGCAGCAGCAAATAGAATAAAGCACTTAGAAACAAATTTAAGAAGTCCTGGGAACTGCAAGCTATGAAACATCACTGAAAGATATTAAAGACATTAAAAAATGGAAAAGACATCCCATGTTCACGGACCAGGAAACTCAGTATTTTTAGGATAGCAATACATCCTGGATTGATCTATGGAGTCAACAGAATACCCATGAAAGTCAAGACAGGCTTCTCTACAGAAATGACAACCTGATCCTAAAATTTTATGAAAATGCAAGCAGCCAAAAAATCCTGAAAAAGAAGAACAAAGGCAGAAGACTCAAACTTGCTAATTTTAAAACACACTACAGAGCTACAGTAATGAAGATGTAATGGTACTGACAGAGTAATATAAATAGAGATGAATGGAACAGAACCAAGAATTTAAAAAGAAACACATTTATAGGCAACTGAATTTCAATAAGGAGTCTAAGACCAGTCAGGGAGTAAAGCAGAATCTTTGCAACAAATGGGGAAGCTGGATATCTAGCTGCAAAAGAAAAAGCAGGATCCTATCGCATACTATATGAAATTACTAAGTACAAACAGGTCACTAACCTGAAAAGAAGTGCCAAAATATAACCCAAAAAATCCTAGAAGAAAACACAGAAATAAATCTTTGTGACACTGGATTAAGGATGGTTTCTTAGATGTGACAACAAAAGCACAAGCAACAAGAGACATAGTTCACATCAAAATAAAAATCTTTTATGCTGTAAGCAATACCACTGAGATAAATAATAAAAAGACTTACAGAGTAATTACTTGCAAAGCATATAGCTGCTACTGAACTTGTTTTCAGAATATTAAAAGCATTCTTGTAATCCCAGCACTTTGGGAGGCAGTAATAAGAAAAACCACAAGTTCAAGTCCAACCTGAACAACTTAGCAAGACCCTGTCTCAAGGTAAAAAATACAGAGTGCTGGTGACATACCTCTGTGCAAAGGACCTGGGTTCAATCTCCAGTACTGACCAAAAAAAAAAAAGTAACTCAATTAAAAATTAGATAAACAATTTAAATAGTACCCAAAGACATAAAATAGCACATGAAACACTATTCAATGCCACAAGTTATTAGGGAAATATAAATCAAAATCACCATGACATATTGCTTTATATCCATTAGGATAACTATAATAACTTTGAAAAGACAGATAAATAACAACTGCTCGTAAAACTGCTGAGAAATTTGAATCTTCACTTGTTTTGGTAGGAATATTAAAAAAAAAAAAAGCGTTATTCTGAAAAACGTTTTGGCAGTTCCTTGAACAGTTATACATAGAATTACTTTATAAACCAGCAGGACTCACTTCTAGGTATATATGTAAGAGAAATAAGAACATATATCTATACAAGCACTTATACACAAATGTTCGTAATAGTATTACTCATGGGGGCCAGGGAGATGGCTCAGTGGAATAAGCGCTTCCCTGGCAAGCGCAAGGGCCTGAGTTTAATCCCTGGTTCCACCACCCCCCCCCCAAAAAAGAAAAGTATTATTCATAATTGCCACATAGTAGAAACAACCATCAGAACACAGAGCCAACCAATAAGAAGATGACATGTGACCACCTTCAAATTTGGTGGGATAAGATGAAAAAGCCTGCTGGGCATGGTAGCACACACCTGTCATCCAACCTACTCAGAGGGTGACACAAGATTAAAGCTCGAGGCCAGCCTTGGCAGCTTAGTGAGACCCTGTCTCAAAATTTTTTAAAAAAACTTAAAGGGTAAGGGACGTATCTCTACATTTAAAGAGTAAGGGCTTACAGAGCATGTGCAAGGCCCTGGATTCAATCCCCTGTAGCATTAAAAAAAAAAAAAAATCTCATGAAGATGGAACAAAGAGAGCAGAAAAACAAAACTGTTCCCATGTTTGTGGCAGGTTTCTAAGCCACACTTCCTAAGCTGTCTTTCTCAGAGTAGCCTAAGGACCGAGGCTTAAATCCACAGCCTTCACACTGAGCTACATTCCCAGTGACTCCCCCTTTAAAAATGAACGTGTATAAAGATTTTATTTGATTCATTAATTAACAAAGGAATCAGTAAGATGCTACAACTGATCCAAAGGGAAATTCGAGGAACCACACATTACAAAGGCAAATGAGGCCTGATGAATTTATATAAATACTGTAGATGAAAAACAGGCCCATCTATGAGGCAATAATCAATTATATTCCACTAGACACAATTCATTTGCATTTGAATGGACAAGAATATAAAATAATGAGCAATTGAAATAAACAGTACCAGCCCTCATTTAATGTTTTATTTTGAGGCAGGGTCTCATTAAGTTGTGCAGACTGAGCTCAAACTTGCAATCCTCCTGCCTTGGTCTCCCAGAGTCTGGGGTTACAGGCAGGCACCACCAGGCTTGGCTCCCACTCACTTCCTTTCACATCAATGGACACTTGTTAAAAATACAGAGTCCTCAGGTCCTCTTTTACCTCCTAAATGGTCTGGGTGGGTTGGGGACTAATGCTTGCATTGCTAGTACCACTTCTGTTGAGTCTTATATGCTTGTAAGTAGGCAAGCCTGTGTCCTGCACCATGCAGAGCACTTGCAAAGGTATGTGGGGTCACTACTCACCATGCTCCCCAGAGGCAGCCCAGTGAGGAACAAAGAAGAGGCTGACACTCGGCTCTCCTCCACCCCTCCACACCCTCAGCTGCCTCTGCCCTGTCCTGCACAGAACTACTGGCTGCCCGTGACAAAGCAGCACCTGCCTACATCAGGAGATCCAGAGAAAGCATTAGCCACAGCTCATCCAAAGAGTTCCATCAGTCTTCTAGGGAGGTGCTCAGGCTTCTTTATCTCAAAATAACTTTTCCTCCCTCCCAGGTAGCTAACAATCTCTTCCCACTCTGCCCTCAACTCCAAGCTACTAGGAAAAGATTTTTTAGACCAGAAGCCAAGCACAGGGGAGGGTGAAAACAGGAGGATCATTCCAAGTTGGAGCTGCATAGTGAGACCCTGTACCAAATATGTTTAAAAAAAAAAAAAAGACCAGAGACTGGGCATGATGGTACGTGCTTATAATCCCAGCTCTTGGGAGGCTGTACATAGGTGGATCACTACAAGTCCAATCTAGTAGTGAGACCCTGAACACCCTGTAGACCCTTACCTACAATAAAAAAAAAAAAACCAGAAGCCATAAACCTATGATTTATAAAAGCAAAGGTATGTCTCATTTGTTTTCTTTTTCTTTAAAAAAAAAAAAAATCTTGGGGCCAGGAGATAGCTCAGTAGAA